AGGTACAAAAAGTGTGGAGAGAAACCCAAAGAGGCAAGTTACTTTGAGTGAACACCCCCTATTTGCAGAAGTCCTAATCAAAATAGTGCACAGTAAATGACCACCTCTGGGTGGAGAACCACATTTGAATGGATGTTTTCAAGAACCAAGCAAATGTTCTTAACCTGATCTGCACTCTTGAGTGCACATACGTATTGAACGAGGCTCTAGTTTAGGGAGGAAAGCCAGCAGCGGAGATGTAATGGCCTGACTTCAACAGACCGCTCATTTCACCCTGAGCATGTGGCGACACTGTCTGCCTCCAGGTATTTATGAACTTTTGAGACCCGAGACCAGAGCCAGGCATTACCACCAGGACTGGAGGGGAGTTTTCTCCCCTGCCCATCTCCTTATTCCTGACTATACTATTCGGAAGTGAAATATCATTTAATCCCTTTCACTGTTGAGGGCATTACAGAATATTGGTTGCAATAAAGCTGTAAAAAATATTTAAGCAAAGAAGATGGATAGATGATTTTAGACCAAACAATCAAACTCATCATTGCCACCAGCAAAAGGACGGTCACGCACAAATCCCTGACTGTGTGCCAAATGGAGTACAGCTGATTGAGACCATTTCTTTACATATCCTTGACCTAGCTTACACATTTACAAGCCTGCAATGTTGGAAGCATTGTATCATGGGAGAAAAGGAATTCTAGTCAAATGCTTATGAGCTTTTTTGTCTTCAAGTTTTTAGATCAGGGTCAGGTTACCGCAAAGTGCTCAGTGACCCATGGGAAGGACATCTTGTCTTCATTCAGGGCTTAAGATGTGCTTTACATCACTAGCGGTGGCAAGTAGCTTTCTGATTGATGATTCTAACATAGATTAGGGGCAAAAGCGTCCCTGGAGAACAAATTCCCTAGTGAGAGCTGCCACAAAACTCAGGTGGATTTTGATTCTGAATTTGTGCATCTAGCAACAACAACCAACTACCAGTTGTTCAGGCTGGTATCACGTCTATGTAAGGTTTATTCTTATAGCAAAGGGCTAGAGAAATGAGGTATGAATTTGTCACTACAAGTTCAATTGTGTTACATTCAACTTGTGGTGAGGATCTGGTTTCCTTTTTATTGTACTCCAATTTTGTTGTAATTACTATTGCCTAAAATAAATAGGGACTTAGAGGTAACAGGAATGCTTAAGTGACTTTTATAGTAGTGGTATTTGTTGTAACAGAATTTGACCCGTATTCTAGTTATTAGTTTTATTCACCACATTGGAAACTTGGCAGTTCCACTGTTCACACCATTATATGCAAAGCAACGTAGCATGAAAGTCACAAGTGGTGAAGAAATCTCTGAACACAAGAGGTTCATGGAACACTCTAACCTCAGCTAAGACATGGGTGCTATTTTATTTAGCTAAACTTTCTGGATAACCAGAAGCTTATTTCTTTCTAGATATAGAGTTATTACTTATTAGAAAAGAAGAGTGAGTTTTTCATCCATGGCTCCACTCTCTGAATTTCTGCCACAGCTGTGACTGCGTCAGGACAAAGCCAGAATTTCTGCCCACAACTCTACCAGGGTCTTCGATGTGGATGGCAGAGACCCCGCACGTGGGCCATAATTCACTGCTTTCCAAAGCACATTTGCAGGAAGTAAGCTTGGATGCAGAGCACTCAACCTGAAACAACCACATTCAAGACGCGGGATGCAGCTATCCCCAGCAGTGGATAAGCTTGTCTGGCTTATCCCTTTTCCTCTCCTCTCCCTTCTATTTTCTTCTTTTGAATAGCTTTGTCTCTCTTCTATTTTCCCCTTGCTTTTCCTTTTATTTGAAAGGCAGAATTACAAAGAGAGACAGAGAATCTTCCACCCGCTGGTTCACTCCCCAAAGGGCTGCAATGGCCAGAGCTGAGGTGATCTGAAGTCAGGAGTCAGGAGCTTCTTCCTGGTCTCCCAAGTGAGTGCAGTGTCCCAAGGCTGTGTCATCCTCAGGTGTTCTTCCACGCTATAAGCAGGGAACTGGATTGGAAGTGGAACAACCAGGACACAAAGCATTGCCCTTATGAGATGCTGGTGCCACAGGTGGAGACTTAGTCTACTACACCACGATGCTGGCCCTTTTTATTCTCTTACTATTTGCAATATAAACATTTTGAAAATGTTCAATACATCAAATTTTGCCTTCTGAGCATAATTTGATCTCTTTATGCAGGAGGTTCAGAGTATCATGTAGGCAGTGAGCTGTGTAGAGAGCTGTTTGGGGCACTGTGCCTACCTCAAACAGGGCTTTGGAGCTCTTTGCTAAATTTGAAACTTTTGTTGTTGCCACTTCTTTTTCCTTCTTGACAAAAATTTCCTCTAGAAGTCTTTTGCTCTCTCTTAACCTATTGCAGACTTGGAAACTAGAACCTCAAACATCATTTTGTTTGTGAAGTAAAATAAATAGGTTCCGAGTAGGTGTTTGATGGGTTTCAGTATGATCTTTCTTTTGCATTATTTTCTTTACGGTCTTTTTTTCATCTAGTCAGAAAATCTGCTTAATTTCTGTTTCTCAGTCAATTCTGAATGAGTTGAACCAAAGTTCCAGAATTTTTTTTTTTTAAATTCCATTTCAAATACCCATGGTTGAATCACTTGGGTTTGTCAGGGCTAGGGAAGCCGTTAGAGCTAAGAATGAGGTGTGTGGGTTGTTGCAGAATCCCACAGTGGTGTGCAGGCTGTGGGTTGTTTTTGTCAGGCATGTGACCTGACAGCTAAACTCAGTAAGTGATCTTTAGAAGAATGAGCTGCTCTTGTGGTCTCTTTTCAAGGGACATCTCTTGAAAGGTTGGAGACACCTCCAAGACATTTAACTGAACTAGACTCAGTCACAGAACTGGCTGGCCTTCTAGAATCTAACATTCATTGCAAAAGAAGCCATTGCTCTGCCTCTTGGTGATTTCGACACTTATGGCTGCACAGGAAAGGTACAGTAAGTCGAACAGTCTTCCTCTCCTACAAGTGCTGACTCTGGACAGAGAAGGGATTTCACTGCTCTCCTTAGCTCGCTCTCCCTCACTGCATGCTGTGTCTTCAAGACTGTACAAAGGTGGGCCTAGAAAAGGGCAGATTTCTTCGCCCCAAGGACATACTGTGTGTGTGTATGTGCTTGGAATGAAGACAAAGTGGACAAAAATTTTACTGACCAAAACAGGCGGCAATTGGTGCAGCTAGAAGATAAAGAAAACAGGTTGTTAAGTGTGGCAGCCCTGAGCTTAAATCCTGGCTCTCTACTTTTTTAGTGTAAACTTGGTCATAGTGTTTAATTCTTTGAATGTGATTTCTGAGCAGTAAAATGGAGGATGATAGCATTAATATTGAGAATGAAGTAAGACAACATGAAACGTACCAGCAATGCATGGGGTTCAAAGAGCTAAGTAAATGCTAACTACTAAGAACGAGTAATTTTTAACCTGAAAAGTGCAATATGTTAAAAATGCACACCCACAGCAGCTGGCCGTTAACTTTACTCAGTTTTCTGTTTTTGTCTTCGGTGACATCTTAATAACCTTGGGTACATCTAATGATGGAGCCTTGTCAAGGTCAAGAGATATTCCAGACAAGCTAAAAACTTTGCTCTTTTTACAAGTATAAAGGAAGTGAGTCCACATACAAATTGGACCAAGGAAAGATCAATAAAACTAAAAATTGTCACCTTCCAAGGGAAAGTTAACGAGAATGGGCTGGGCAACGGGATGTGGTGTTGAGCTACTGGCACCAGGAAGTTGGAAAGAAAACCTCCAAAAACATTGTGGTTAGTTAAAACACTGAAGACTCCCTAGTGTTGGAGCACTTGGCAATGCCCCCATGGGCAGAAACTACTGGGGCAGAGGGAACTGTGCCTAATGGCTGCTGCAGGAGACAGAAAGTCTGCCATCCTGCGCACTCACAGCTGGCTTAATGGGCATCCTTGAGTGACTCTATCTCCCTATCTTGGACAACTTCCCTTAAGTTCTCACTTTCCCCAGTGAACTAAAAGAGTAAGAGCAAAACAAATTTATTAAAAGCAAATTCAGATTATGTTTCACATATAGCTGCTCCAAATGCTCGTGTTGATGGGTTCTGGGATTTTAAACACTGACTTAACAAATATTTGAGAGGCAGAAACAGATCTCTCACCCACTAGTCCATTCCCTAAATAATGTCCTGGCTAGGAGGGAACTGCAGTCAGGAATCAGGAACATAGTCCACCCAAATCTTCCACATGAGTGGGGTAGGGACCCAACTACTTGAGCCACCAGCACTACCTCCCAGGGTCTGCACTGGCGGGAAATTGGAGTCCTGAGCTGGGGATGAGAATTGAATGAAGTATTCCAATACGGGATGCAGATGTCTAGCCTACGTACCTATTTCTAGTTTGACTTTAGGCTGGAGTTGCACTTACCTAATTCTCATAGCATCCAGCATGTCAGGCCTCACAATGGGCTCTTGAAGGCCTCTGAATAAATGGATCCTGGTTTCAGTGTGACTTCTTGTTGTAATACTACAAGCTAGGCTAGAATTGTTTTATTTACATTTCTATGTCTCCATCAATTATATGTAAATATAATTCACAAGCTCCATAGATATCTTTTTCATGGCCTAAGTGTAATTTGCTCTATACAATCTCCCCAGATAATACAGTAAAAATTGTAATTTGACCTTCCATCTACACCATCCAAATTGTAAACCCCTAATGTTATTTGAAGACATCCTTCAAGACCAAGTATTCTTTATGTTATAACCTCTTTGTCCCAAAATTTTACCGAGGCATGGATCATTTTGAAAACACATCCCTAAATAACAATGGTCTACATGTATCCTCTGTCACTTTTCAGGGATCTCTTGCACTCTGGTGAAGTCAGGAGTAAATCCACATTTAATAAACAAAATACCACGACCCCCATCATTACCACAATTGAGTATGCAGATTGTCATGAATATTTACACCTATCAGGGTCCTTTATACACAACTCAGAGAGACAAATAGTATTTCCAGTAATAGTTTATTGATTTCCAAATGCACAGGGGTGCCAAGTCCGAACATCCTGGGATAGCAGTAAATCTCTTACAAAATAATTTACAGTATGAAAATGATATACTGAAACATTAACTCAACATGTAATTCCCTTGAAAGATTGAGTGTTCCCTTGTTTAATGTAAATGGTGGAAGGGGAAGATGACTAAGGAGGGAATGACTGTGCACAGAAAAGAGGCAGCGGACAATGGATTTGTTGCTTCTCCCGACTCATGCACTGCAGCCTGTCACTGTAGAACGACCAGTCAGGTTTAACTCATCATGTATGGATCTGCTGTGCTGTGTCTTCAAGATAGTGCTCAGTCCAGCCTGGGCTCTGTAGCTTTATTTTATTTTTTTCCTTTCCATTGTAGTCTCAAGTATCTCGGTGTATTTTCATTTTCCTGTTCTGACCTTGGTCCTGCTATTTCTGGTGTGCTTCCAAACTATAGTGTCTTACCCACCAGGGCCCCAGTAGCAGGTTCTCTATCATGGCTCTGGGAACGGGCTGGGCTGCGGGCTTCAAACACACAGCTGGAAAGGGAAGTATCAAAGAGATCCCAAGTCTCCCCCTTGGGACGCCTTCTGCTCTTAGGGTTGGACTAGACTTGTCCAGATGTGCAACAAAACTTTTTCCAAAGCAGAAAAAGGTGGATGTGTTTGACAGACAGTAAACTGTAACTGACTCACTTATTGAAAAGAACACATTGAACAGCTATTAAGTGAAGGGTGGAATCTCAGCAATGAGCAGAATACATTCCATCAGGAGAGAAGCCATTGCAGGTCCTATCACTGCTACAAAGTTGTGCATTTTACAGTTGCAACCCTCAGGCCTGGCAGGGCTGACAAGACCCTCAGGTCATCAAAACAGCTGGGCATCCAAATCTCCCACATCACCAGATACCTTGTAGGAAGGCTGGAGTGCAGTTTCCTTCAAGGCTGTCACCTTGGCACCCTGCTTGCCAGGGTGATGCTCTTCTGATGAGCATTGTATAAGCAAGCAGCTAAGCTCCAGGGACAAGGTGGCACGTGTCATCAGGCTGGCAGGAACCTTCGTAGTACACAAGACAGTCAGGGGCTGCTCTGAGGTACTTTAGCTCCTAGAATGTGCATGTGTGTGCATGCAAGCATGCACATATATACATATACATACATAGCCCATTTATGATTGACAAAGAGGTACCCCCACCACACACACACACACACACACACACACACACACACACACACACGATCTACATCATCTAGACATCAGTAGGACAGTTCAAACTTACTGGATTCTGAATTGCCGTATTTCACAGAGCACAGAGGACACGGGAAAGATATTACTAAAAAGTATATGTAAAGATTTCCTTTTCTGTAGCAAGTAAGTTTCCAAATAAAGTTAGAGCAGGGCAAACAATCTTCATTTCTACCATTCTTGAAAAGTTCTGTACTATGGAAAGGCCAGGACGTCCCTTATTTATGAGTGGCACTAAAAAGGAAAAGGTTCACTCACTCCTAGGGCAGGTCAAAGTCAGCCTTGTCTACCTAAAGAATCTGCTAGCGTGGAGGAATAAGGCCAGTTTGACGCCATTTGTGATCCGAAATCACAGTGATGAAACGTCATTTTAAGAGTCTAATGTGGATGGTCATACTGCAGTGGGGGACCTGAAGTGGTTTATTTCTCTTGCTCTGTATTGTTAGGTATCCCTGGCATGACACAAAAGGATGTCCAAAGTATGGTAAGTTGGGATTAAAATCTGATTCCAACTTTTCCTAGCTATTTAGCTAGAGAGAACTGGCAGCTTTTTTGCAATCTACAAGATAAGTGTGGAATAACACAGGACATAGCTCATAGCTGGTCCCTCATACAGTTTATTTCCTTCTAGGGATGGCAGAACTGAGACTCCCAAGTACTTCTTGGGACTGACCTGGGTTTAATGACACCAAATGAAAGGACAATTCCTTCTAGCATCTGGAAACCCAACATTTGGAAGGCATCCAGGAATTGCTGTGAGTACCTAATTCATTCTGGTTATATTCATACCTGTCTCTCTTGGGATTTCTGCAAACGTGAAGCCTGCAGCCAGTCAGGACACAATGCTGAAGACTGAACTTTTACTGACCTGGCAAGAGGGAAGCCTCGTCATGCTGGGGCTTAAGGCCAAGCAGCATGCTCCAGCTTTAGGGGAAGCCGGTGCCGCTGCAGGAAGCATCCTAGTTCTTACATTGATAAATGCTGCCGGCAGGAACTTAGGAGCCTGGGCAGAAGCTGCTGCGCTGTATTTAATGCTTCCCTGGTTAAAGTTTTATCAGGTGCTGAAGACAGCAGGAGCCCATAAAGCAAATCTGCAACCCGTTCTAAGTCAAAGCAAAAGTGCTCTTCTCCTTGAGGATCACAGACATATAATAATTTGAGACAGGCTGGCACACATTCTATTTCTGCTGTTAGCCACTATGTAAATGCTTGGATTTTTCCAAATACTAATATAAAGTAACAATACATGATTAGGAAGCTAGGTTACTATTTGCAAAGCAATGATTACTGTAGAAAGACAACACAAATTTCCAAATCCTAGTTATTTAGTTATATTTTTAAAAATCTTTTGATACTATAAGCTCTTTCAAGAGTGGCCACTGGACTTTCTCTTAAGTTAGTTATGTTGGATACGACTGGCTGTTGTAACCAGTGGCATGTTCAGTTCTACAGTTTTTGCAGACAGGGTTTCGTAGCTTCCCAGCCTCAGGGGAATATATTATTCTGTACCATGCATAGGACTGCACAATGATACAATTAGACTCCTATAATAAGCAATTGTTTCTGCCTCAAAAACCTTCCTGTATGCTTTCCAGTCTACTGACCTGGAAGCTTTGCGGTAGGTAAAGAGGCTACAGACAAGCAGGCAGGAAGTGGAAAGATTCCTTTGGTTCTGCCTTAGCTGTCTGAGAGGCCTAGGCCCTGGCTCAGCAGTGACCTCATGGCTGTTTCACTGAGGCTCCAATGGTGTGCCTCACTCAGGGGGAACACCACAGCAGCATCACTAACAGCACAGAAGAACCAACTACCCATTCCTAGGCTCTCCTTTCTCAGTGTATGAACATTCCATTCCACACGTTTGTTTCCTAGCAAAGTGTATCTCCTGCCTTTAAACCATTTATTAAGCAAAACGTTTGTTTCACGAAGATCAAGCCTGTATATTTCTGTTCCCTTAGCACATCATGGCTATTTGAGGGCAAAAAGCTTAAATGCAGGAATCCTGATTTGGAACTGGGAAAGGCAGGAAGTCCAACCTCAGGACTCTCGCTCATGCTACCTAAGAGGTGAGAGTCAGGGTGTGGGAAACCGTCTGAGGGTCTGTGGAGGAGGTGCTGGGGAACAGGGCTCCCTCTGCATAGGGTGAAAGGAAGGTGTGTTTCCCCTCGGAGAGGACTGAACTCAGCTGTCCTGCTATGACCCCGCTCCCCACACTGCCATGTAAGCCACATCAGGCTAAACTGAGCGGGGAGTGGAGGTGGGGGTGTGGGCACGGGAAAGGGAATTTAAAAAAAATGAAAAATTCCCACAAGAAAAGCCTTTCTTGGACCAAACCCATAAAACCCGTAGACATCACCCAAGTAATTTGAGTTCTGAGAGATCCGTCAGTGATTATTTTCGAAGTTCAAGCCATTGGAATTCAGATATACTGATTTCAACCTTTAATCAGATTTAATCTTTGGTCTTCTCCCTCCTACTCCCCGCAAGGTCATTTCCCTTCCACCTCTTCAATCATTTTTTCATTTCCAAAGCACTGAATTATGAATCTGAAGTCCTGGATAACCCCATGTACTAAAAATATCAGTATCTTTCTAATGTTTAACTCTTTCTCCAACCCTGTCATTCAAGCCATCTGCAGCATTCCTGGTACCAGATGTTTCCAAACACAGAACTGCCTTTGCAGAGATTCTCTCTAGGAGGCAGTGCCTCCTCCTATGCCTTCCACATGCTTCACTGTGAACAACACGGAGGGTTTCTGTTAGCATTAGCAGGTAGGGAAAAATTCTTAGTTCATGATTATTCCTAATCCTGCCTAATAAAGTTATTTGGCTATACAACACTGCAGGGGCAGGCTTTCCTAAGTCATTTCAAAGCACTGACGGACCCTGTTAATTGCTCCCAGCTGATCAAAGGGGCTCTTTTGCTTGAGTGACCACAATGAGAATGAGAAGCATACAGTTGACAAGCACAAAGCTGACATCCCTCCAAGAGCAACATGCCTGCTGTGGTTCCGGGGACAGAAGTGGTGAGAAGTACATTGCTGGGCAGCTTTCACAGAAATCAGAAGCCATTACGCTCTGTCACATGCACACGGGGGCGGGGATGGGTTTCCTCTGGGAATGGCAAGCCTTCATGTGTCCTCTTCTTCACTGGCACCACTACAAAAGAAAAGGAGAGTCACATGAGTTAAGACATCACACAAAGGAAGGCATCACAGCCTGGGGGGCGGGGGCACCCCAGGCCTTGCTCTGAGACACCCCTGGATCCAAGCCCCAATGACCATGCCTAAGTCAGTGCAGCCAGGTTCCGAGGACTTCTTTTCTCTAAGTTTTTTCTTTTTAATTTGATTATAGTGAGAAAAATGACGAAACTTAGTTTTTTCAGGTTACTAGAGAATACATGTAAAATGCACAGTGCATGCTATGTGAATATTTATTCAAAGGATCAGATGAAGATCACTATGATTAAAAAAAAAAAACAACTTATTGGTAAAAACCATGAGGCTTTAACTTTCTCTGAAGTTTAGCATATCTAGTGTTAGGAGAACACAAGTAGAACAAGGAGAAGATATATTTGTCCCGCCAGTGGCACTTCTCAAACTTCCAGTCCATTCAGCCAGCCAGTGGGTTTAAATATCACCTCCTCAAGAAGCTGCTCTACGTTCAGCAGGACTCCCTTGCCATTCTCTTATTTCTTTCATAATGCTTATAACAGCCTATAATTTGTTTGCTACAGTACCTAAGAGTACAAATATTATTTTATTAACTACTATATATATAGCACTTAAAAATGGAGTGAAACAAAAATAGGAAAAGAGGGTGGGAGGGACAGACAAGCAGAAAAGACTGATCAGTTGTTACTGTTCTGACCGGTGATTGGAGTATTTCAGCTTCAGTGAGCGGGACACCTGCCAGGCTCAGCTCTGAGCACTTCAGTTGCTCAAAGGGTGATCTCTGGCATGGTCCTGGGAGAGAGCACGGCACGGTAGGTACAGGGATGAGGGCAAGGAGGAGGCAGAGGCAGACAAACAGAGGCAGCAAGGATGACCCTCAGAAGGGCAAAAGTGTCCACGTGACTGGTTTCTTCTCTTCCACTCCTCGAGCTCGTCGTCCTGGAAGTAAGCACAGGAGCCGAACCTGATCCCAGGAAACAGGATTTTATAGATGTAGGAAATGAATCTCTGAGAGATGTAAAATTTGAGAATTACACAGTATTCAGTCTATATCCTTAGAACTCCAGCTTCAGTTTTGACTGGACACAGTCTACAGTAGCTGCCTGATGCTAAGGCAGGGGCCCAGAGGGCAGCAGCTTCCTGCTGGGACCTGGAAACTCCTCATCTGACAAGCTACTACCTGTACCTTGATATAAAATCTGTTATTTTGCATCTTTTTAAAAAGGATGCTGAGGGAAAACATCCTATGTAAATGGACTTCTCATAGTTTCACTAAGGGAAGAATTATTCAAGACAAAGGGCCTGCAGATGAAGTTAAACAGACTCCAGGAGCCACGAGGACATGCTAGCAATCTGTCATTCACACTTTGCCCTGTCTCCACTCCTTTTGCTTGTGTTTTTGCTCAATCACAGGATGAAGGGGGCATATTAGGTCAAGGTAGACAGTGGACTGTCATTACAATAGAATTAGGTGGCTTCCATCCAGAGAGAACAAAGGATCTTTTATGCAAACGTCTCCCTAGAATGTAGGCAGAGTTGGAACCAGTGTCGTATTTCCTCTGCCTTTGGTATTAGATCCAAAGCAAAGCTCTTATTGTTCTCCTGTCAGTTTTACGTCAAACATGAGGCCTGGTGCCTGTGCCCTTTCCCTAAGCTGCAGAGAACTTGTTGGCATTCTTGAGATTCGCACTTGAAGGGTTCATGAACCAACGGAAAGTGCAAACAAGAGTTCTGTCTGTGCATGCCTTTGTCTGAGAGGTTATGATTTTCATCATATATTCAAAGAGGTCACTGGCTCCTCCCCTGTTGAGAATAATCAAATTTTTGCCACAAATATTCTTTTCTGGCTTTCAGGTTCTGTACTGTAAGAACTAGAGAGCAGTGTAAGAAAAAGAATGCAAGTCCTGACTGAGAATTCTCTTTTCTCACTACCTTAAGAGAGACCTATTTGGGGACTCAAAGGATACAACTTATTTTCCAGATTAACACAAAAACCCTTAGGACTGTGCCATTTATTGATCTCATCAGGCTTGGCATGCTCAGTGCGTACTGACCACTCTGTGTTAGGAGTGATGCTAAGTACAATGGTGATTAAGGCAGGGGCAATGGTTATCTAGTGGACTCCACAGCCAAGCAGTGAGAGAAACAGAGGGCAGCAAGGAGAGTGGACAAGTCGTACCTTTGAAGATCTTTTCAGAATGACCATCTTTCGGAATAGTGTGAGTGCATCTCTAACAGCTTTATTCAGTCCGCTCAGGGTTTCCTGAAGGGCTAGCCTGCACAACTGGTAGGAGACACTCCCTGACGACAGCCTGGAAGTCTCCACTTTGACCAGTGAAGCAGCACAGCCCTGCCCCACCTCAGCCACCTGGCTTCTTCTGAAACTTCTATCTTATGCTTAGATTTGTAATTGGAGTGGGATTCAGAGGTCACTCAAGTTCTAATAATGAAGTAAATGTGCCAGGCAGGCAGCCCCAGGCAGCCCTATTCCACAGCAGGCTCTTATCAATGACAGAGGGAACATCAGACAATGATTTTGAGGTTTCCAGACTGAAATAGTTCTAAATATTTGGATGAGTTTCAAAGCCTTTCTGAATTTGTGTCCTAATGGTATTACTATCTGTATTATGGGGTTATTATGAAAGCTCACACATTCTGTACAATACAATTTATAATTATGTTGGTCTCCTCCCTTCTTATACTGGACAAATACCTACTTCCCTGAGGTTGGCAGCATTGTACGGTGGGTCAAACTGCCATCTGTGAGGCCAGCATCCCATATGAGCGCTGCTTTGAGTACCAGCTGCTCCACTTTCAATCCAAGTCCCTGTTAATGCTTGTGGGAAAGCAGCAGGAGATGGCCCTGGGCCTCTGTCAGGTATGGGAGACTCAGAGGGCAAGCTAGGCTTCTGGCTTCAGTCTGGTTCAGCCCTGGCTGTTTTGGCCATTTGGAGAGGGAAAAAGATCTCAGTCTCTCTCTTTCTTACTCCCAGTATCCCTGCCTTTCAAACAAATAAAATAAAAATTTAAAACAAAAGCATGTCTTCTCCTAACTTTCCCTTAATGTCCCTAGGACTGCCATCCTAAACACTACCTTTCAGAACAAGCATGTTCCAACTCCTTCAAAAACTGGAGAGCAACAGAATCTAGTTGTGCTTGCCTGACGAGTTTTCAGAAAGAATTCCAGCTGCACAGGTACTGGACACAAAGAGTCGGTTCCCTGACTCTGTGTGACTGACCTCTAGAAAACCCATCCTCTGCCAAACCTGGTGAGGATAACTACTGAAGGAAACTGAGTTAACTGGCCTCAGCTCAGTTACTGACTCATCTAGTCTGAAGGTACCTAAGTGATGATCTCAAAACACAAACCCTTGTGGCTCAAAAAGACTTTCCAGAGAAAATTTTTAGCACAGGAAATCTTAAGGAAATACATATCTAGATTTTCAACTTTGTTTACACTCTGTCTTAAAACTGACCTTTTCCCAGGTACAAGCCTGTGACCCAGAGGTTCTTTTCTCAGCCACTCCCACTTTGGAAATATTTATCCTGCCTCGGAGAAGAGACACATCACTCACCTCACAGCAGCTTTAGAGTATTTCATTTTTATAAGAAGTTGCTGGGAGAGTAGGATGAGTGGTAGAGGATATAGTCCCATATTTTCTGTAGGCAATAAACTCTTTGCAAGGTTGTATGCTGTATCCTCTAGCTACATATCTAATAATTTAAATCCAGAAGTGAGATGTCACTGTCGTAAGGTATACACTTAATATGTTTGAGATGTTTAAGAAGTGAAATGAGAACCCATTTAAAGTCTTCACCTTGCACGCTCCGGGATCCCATACGGATGCCCAAGTTCTAATCCCAGCTGCCCCGCTTTTCATCCAGCTCCCTGTTTGTGGCCTAGGAAAGCAGTCAAGGACAGCCCAAAACCTTGGAAACCTATACCCACGTGGGAGACCTGGAAGAGGCTCTGGGCTCCTGGCTTTGGATTGGCTCAGCTCCGGATGTTGCAGTCACTTGGGGGGATGAATAAACAGATGGGAGATTTTTCTCTGTCTCTCCTCCTTTCTGTATATCTGATTTCCCAATTTAAAAAAAATCTTCAAAAACAAGGTGAAATGAGATTTGGTCTAAGCAAGTCTGATTTGGCTGCAGATTTACCACAAAAATTGGTTTTACAAATTATGTCTTATAAAGTTAATCTAACCTGCAGTGGCAGTGTTTAAACAAAAGCATATATAGAAGCTCATTTAAACTACAAAATATATCAGCAATCATCCTTTAAGCTGGATACACAATATCAAAGGTTAATTAAAAACAGGCAAGATACAAATATTTTTTTCTACATTCTTTTAGGCAATATAAACCAAAAATTTAGCTGAATGAACTAAACTGCTAAATTCTGGCTAGGGGTGGTATGAAATGTAATACCTCCCTGATTGGGACAGAGCTTGAGGTGACAGGAAGAGTTCAAGGCGTATCAGTCACCAGAATGCTGTGTCTCTTGTGAGTATGCACAATGAGCGATGAGGAATTCTTTTTGACTTGTTCTGGCGCCTGTGGAATTCAAGATGCAGAATACAAGCTCCCATCACACTCAGCTCCTAAGCACCTGCTGATAAAGTGATTAAGATGGAAAAGGGCTCCACTGCCTAATCATTTATTAGTCTGTATGGAGAGTTGGTTCAACTGTTCAGCTTCTATCCCCAGAGCTGTAGGGGCATAACAGAAAGTTAATAAATGAGGTGGCAGGTACTTTTTGTAATAGCTCTGTTTCCCTGAGCTTACACCATCACTTGCATGATTTGGTATCATTCATGTCTGATGAGTTCTTGCAGATTTATTGATTACTGCTGTAACAGGATTATTAAACTCAGGAGCATACAGAAATTCAGCAGTATTGACAAGGGAGGAAGGCAAGATTCAAAAAGATTTGGTATTCTCTCAAAATTACACCACACAGGCATTATATATGAAGCTAACTGG